TGATTATTTTTTTTTACACATAAAATGTTTTTTAAAATCGCTTCCACCGTTCGTCGCAGACCCGTCTCTGTCCGCCTGTCTGCGCGGGTCGGGCCTTCATGATTACGCGCGGCTGGGGTCTTGGAACGGCCTCTGTGAGTCACCAGCTGAGCTGGAGCTGGGAGGATGAGCCTCCCAGCCTCCTCCTCTCTGGAGGAGAGGATCAGTGAGACCAGCAGAGCGTTGAAGATAAAAAAAAAAAAACGGTGCCAGCTTCATCATGAAATCCTGTTTTCACTTTAATGACTGTTAACTCAGCTGAAAATCATAAAAAGACACAAAACTATTGGATCTCAGGAATATTTCCCTCAAACATGTTTAAAGAAGAGACGACCTTCAGTTCAACTTTATTTTAACTCACAAATGTACAAATCACAAAACAAGAACTTTAAAGCAAAGCTAAAAATAAAATGTATATATGTGAACAAGAAAGAAAACCACACATCTAAAATGAACATTAAAAGTAGACACAATGAGTGCAAATACATCAAATGATGATGAAAACCTATAAAAATTTAAATGTAATGTTTTGGTAGAATCTGGTTCATCAGAGTTTTAATTTATATACATATACTGTATATATATTTATATCTATAAATATATATAAATACACATATATGTATATAAATATATATGAATATATATAAATACATATATATGTATATAAATACATATGTGTATATATATACATATATATATATATATATATATATATATACATAATTGTGTGTATGTAATATGTGAGATATATATATATATATATCACATATGATATATATATGTGTATATATATATATATATATATATATATATATATATATATATGTGTGTGTGTGTATATATATATATATATTTATACACATGTACATACACACATACATGCATACATACATACACACAACTTCAAAATAACATAAATTCTCAACCTGTACTGAAAACAGTTTTTGCATCTCAGCGCCACCAGCTGGTGAGAGGTGGTGACGTCAATTTGAACCCCGCCCACTGGAACCGGTACTGAAAGCATAATGGAAACACAACCTGTACCGTACCGAGTAGAGTAGAGCCGTGCTGTACCGGCCCGTACCGGTACTAATGGAAAAGGGGCATTAGATATGGCTGAAGGGAGTCCAGGTTTGCAGGATCAGTGACAGTGGCAGAGCTAGGGTAAACGCAATGACCTCAGGCTTCTGATCATTAAAACTCAAAAAGTTCGCAGCCATCCAAGTCTTGATTTCATCAAGACATTTTAACAAAGGGCGAAAGGAGGAGGAACTGTTAGGTGTTAACGGCAGATAAATCTGAGAGTCATCAGCATAACAATGAAAGGAAAGACCATGTTTCCTCAGGATAGACCCTAAAGGGAGGAGATACAATGAAAACAGAAGGGGTCCAAGAATGGAGCCTTGCGGGACCCCGCAGGAAAGAGGCACTGAAGTAGATAGAGTGTTAGCAAAATTAACACAGAAACTCCTGTCGCTCAAGTATGAATGGAACCATTCTAACGCTGCACCAGTAATCCCAACCCAGTGTTCTAGCCGGGATAAAAGGATACTGTGGTCCACAGTATCAAATGCAGCAGTACAGTCAAGGAGTACCAGGACTACAGACTGACCAGAGTCATTTGCCAGAAGAATGTCGTTGCAGACCCTAAGGCTGTTTCTGTGCTGTGTAGTTTCTTAAAGCCAGACTGAAAGATCTCAAGAATAGAATTTCACTCAAGAACTTGTTTAATTGAGTGAAAACTATTTTCTCCAGAATCTTAGAAAGAAAGGGAAGTTTGGAGATAGGTCTAAGTTTGAGCAGGTTGAAGGGTCAAGTCTGGGTTTTGTTATTAAAGGAGTTACCACTGCATGTTTAAAAGCATCAGGAACTACACCTGTAGCCAAACTGCTGTTTATAATGTCAAGAACAGAGGGTCCAATGGAGGGTAGGACTTGTAGATAAAATATTTGAGGTGTGACAGGACAACCTTGGGCCAATGGATGGTATGGGTGGTATGTATGTTTGGCTGTGGGCAAGAGAGGAGGATGCTGAGCTTGTTCCTGAACTGAACCTATTGAAGAACGTGTTCAGTTCATTGGCTCTGTCTAGGCTTCCATCCTTCTGATCCTCCTTCTGCTTGAAGCCTGTGATCTCTCACACCTCTCTGATATTGTTCTGCTGGAGTTTGCTCTCCAGCTTCTGCTTGTACACCTCCTTGCTGTTTCTTATCTTGGCTTTTAGTTGCTTCTGTGTACTCTTCAATAATTCCCTGTCTCCCTCCCTGAAGGCTCTTTTTTCTGGTTTAGCAGTTCCTTCAGGTCAGTGGTGATCCAAGGTTTGTTATTGGGGAAGCATCTCACTGTTCTGGTGGGGATGGAGTTGTTTACACATACGTTTATATAGTCTAGTAGTATATAGTATTTATATAGGATGATGCCAGTCATAGGAGTGAGGAGGAGAAAGAGCAGGAAGGGACAGATGAGGATGGAGAGGAGGTGGAGATGGAAGAGGAGGAGAGAAAGAGGTCCTGGTGACTTTAGACCACATGTCAAACTCAAGACCCATGGGCCAAATGTGGCCCTCGTGGACATATTATCTGGCCCCCAAAATGATATGTATATATACTGTGTATATATATATATATATATATATATATATGTATGTATGTTTGAATCACTTAAATTTTTTCAGAGATCTTTAATTATGATGTCAAAAGTGTAACAGAGTATGTTAAATGAGACCAATCAAACTCTTGTTGAGGAACCTGCAACCAAGAAAAGATGTTGGGTATCTAACTTGAGTTCTGAAACTGACCCTTAGTTTGAAAAAGGTTTTAATTTTGGCCTCGTTTTATAAGTGAGTTTGACGCCCCTGCAGCAGACGGTGATGCAGTTACAGACATTGCAGAGACCAGTGTTCTGCTCAGAGCTTGTTAATGATGGGAGTTCTGACAGTTCCTTTAGTTTGGGAGAGAGTTATGATGTTATAGGTGTGTATATCTCTGGAGGTTGTTTTTTGTTCCTTAAAATTTGTTTGATTTTCATGATAAGCTGCTTGTTTAATAAACTTTTATAAACTGATTTGTATTTTTTATTTCTATCACTAAATAAATACAAACAAACAGTAGTTTTGATTCAACATTTTTCAGTCAGGTCATCTGGACAGTTTCTTTTTTTGTGCTGAAACGTTTCGCCTTCGATCCAGAAGGCTTCATCAGTCAAGGAAACACACAACACAAAACTGATTCTTTCCCCAACAGCTTACTCCAAAGTGGAACAAACCAGTTACAGTGCCTTGCGAAAGTATTCGGCCCCCTTAAACTTTTCAACCTTTTGTCACATTTCAGGCTTCAAACATAAAGATATAAAATTTTTATTTTTTTTGTGAAGAATCAACAACAAGTGGGACACAATCGTGAAGTGGAATGAAATTTACTGGATGTGTCAAACTTTTTAACAAATAAAAAACTGAAAGTGGGGCATGCAATATTATTCGGCCCCCTTGCGTTAATACTTTGTAGCGCTGCCTTTTGCTGCAATTCCAGCTGCAAGTCTCTTGGGGTTTGTCTCTGTCAGTTTTGCACATGGAGACACTGAAGTTCTGCCCATTCTTCCTGTAAAACAGCTGGAGCTCAGTGAGGTTGGATGGAGAGCGTTTGTGAACAGCAGTCTTCAGCTCTTTCCAGATTCTCGACTGGATTCAGGTCTGGACTTTGACTTGGCCATTCCAACACCTGGATACGTTTATTTGTGAACCATTCCATTGTAGATTTGGCTTTATGTTTTGGATCATTGTCTTGTTGGAAGATAAATCTCCGTCCCAGTCTCAGGTCTCTTACAGACTCAAACAGGTTTTCTTCCAGAATTGTCTTATATTTGGCCCCATCATCTTCCCATCAATTCTGACCATCTTCCCTGTCCCTGCTGATGAAAAGCAGGCCCATACCATGATGCTGCCACCACCATGTTTGACAGTGGGGATGGTGTGTTCAGGGTGATGAGCTGTGTTGCTTTTACGCCAAACATATCGTTTTGCATTGTGGCCAAACAGTTGGATTTTGGTATCATCTGTCCAGAGCACCTTCTTCCACATGTTTGGTGTTTCCCAGGTGCTTGTGGCAAACTTTAAACAACACTTTTTATGGATATCTTTGAGAAATGGCTTTCTTCTTGCCACTCTTCCATAAAGGCCAGATTTGTGCAGTGTACGACTGATTGTTGTCCTATGGACAGACTCTCCCACCTCAGCTGTAGATCTCTGCAGTTCATCCGGAATGATCATGGGCCTCTTGGCTGCATCTCTGATCAGTCTTCTCCTTGTTCCAGATGAAAGTTTAGAGGGACGGCCGGGTCTTGGTAGATTTGCAGTGGTCTCATACTCCTTCCATTTCAATATGATTGCTTGCACAGTGCTCCTTGGGATGTTTAAAGCTTGGGAAATCTTTTTGTATCCAAATCCGGCTTTAAACTTCTCCACAACAGTATCTCGGACCTGCCTGGTGTGTTCCTTGGTCTTCATGATGCTTTCTGCGCTTTGAGCAGAACCCTGAGACTATCACAGAGCATGTGCATTTATACGGAGACTTGATTACATACAGGTAGATTCTATTTATCATCATCAGTCATTTGGGACAACATTGGATCATTCATAGATCCTCACTGAACTTCTGGAGTGAGTTTGTTGCACTGAAAGTAAAGGGGCCCAATAATATTGCACGCCCCACTTTTCAGTTTTTTATTTGTTAAAAAAAGTTTGACACATCCAATAACTTTCATTCCACTTCACGATTGTGTCCCACTTGTTGATTCGTCACAAAAAAATTAAAATTTTATATCTTTATGTTTGAAGCCTGAAATGTGGCAAAAGGTTGAAAAGTTCAAGGGGGCCGAATACTTTTGCAAGGCACTGTATGCTGCATAACTCACTTACATTAGTTACGATTCTGCTTTGGAAGTGGATCAAACATAAATAGATTTTACCTAAACAGAGGATACGGTTGTGTCTGGAAAACAAGTTCTTCATTGCAGTGACCCTGAAAAACACACACACAAACACACACAAAAAAACATATTGTAAGGTTTCCTCAGAAATCAGTTTACAGTTTTAAGACTAAATGCTCTTATTGTATAATGTTCATGGCTGCTGTTTTTGCAAACATCTTTTATGTATTTTCAGAGTTAAACCATCATCTGCAAACCACTGTGAAAATAAACAGCCTGTAAATTTTTTAACTAAATGTTCATTTGAAAGTGCTTGCATTGAATTACCGTAATTGCCAGTGTACAAGCCACTACTTTTTTCTCACGCCGCGGTTTATATGCAGGAGCATCTTAGTTATATATTTTTTTCATAATTTTCAAAAATTTATATTTTTATATTTTATTATGAAGGACTTCCTGCCACTGATTAACAGTTTCCTTTGACAGCTGGGCACTCATAGCTCCCATCACCCTGCCCACAGAGAGAATGCCCTCAGGTAATCACATGTACAAGGTCTTTTGCTCACGGTTTCAAATACCCAACCATAACTCCACCCACTTTGTTATCATGTGACCAGAAGTCTAACCTGAATGACCAATGAGGTACTCTCGAGGACCATCCCCCAAGATAGAATGAATGAATTTCTTAAGATTGTTCCCATATTGTTACCGGATTTTGCGCTTCATGTGTTTACTTCATTTGTTCACTGATAAAGGAAAACCCACTGAGAATTTCTTATGATGCAGCTTTCATGTCAAAAGCGATCGGCTGTCAAGGAGGAAACAGAGCTGCATCAACCTGTGTCGATAGTCAGGATTGGAAATGCAAAAGCAGTCAAGTCTGGTACATGTTTTAATTCAATTCAATTTAAATTCAGTTAATTTATAATGCTGGCAGCACGGTGGCGCAACTGGTAGAGCTGCTGCCTCTCAGCGAGCAGGTCCTTGGTTCAAACCCCGGTCCAGGGGCCTTTCTGGGTGGAGTTTGCATGTTCTCTCCGTGCATGCGTGGGTTTTCTCCGGGTGTTCCGGTTTCCTCCCACAGTCCAAAAACATGCATGTTAGGCTGATTGGTAACTCTAAATTGTCCCTAGGTGTGAATGAGAGAGTGAATGGTTGTTTGTCTCGTTTGTCTCTATGTGGCCCTGTGATGGACTTGTGTACCCCGCCCCTCGCACAGTGATTGCTGGACATGGGCACCAGCGACCCCCGTGACCCAAAATGGAATAAGCGGGTAAAGAAAATGGATGGATGGATGGATAATTTATAATGCGCCAAATCACAACAGAAGACGTCTCAGGGCACTGAATAGAAACATTCATATATAAAAATAACAATTTAACATTATTTATCTGAGGAGCAGACTGCTTTGAGTTTAACTCCATCACAGAACTCTCATCTTGAGCAAACATGAAGGCAACAGTGGAAAGCAAAAACTCCCTCATGAGGAAGAAACCTTTAACAGAACCAGGCTCAGGACAAGCGGACATCTGCTTCAACAGACTGGGTTTGAGAGGAACAGATACACAATGGCAGGCCAAGAATCACATGTTAACATAGAAAATGAAAACTATTCAATTTTAACAAATCATTTAATGAAATGAGGTCAACCCGTCCAGGGTGTACCCCGCCCCTCGCACAGTGATTGCTGGACATGGGCACCAGCGACCCCCGTGACCCAAAATGGAATAAACGGGTAAAGATAATGGATGGATGGATGGAAATGAGGTCAATTTGTCCTCTAGTAGTCTCACCTAAGACAGCATGACAAGCCAACCCTAACTAAAGGATTTATCAAAAAGGAACGTCTTCAGCCCAGTCTTAAAACTGGACAATGTGTCAGCCTCACAGACAGAAACTGGAAGTTGGTTCCACAAGAGAGGAGCCTGACAACTGAAAGATCTTCCTCCCATTCTGCTGCTAGAAACTCGAGGAATCATGAGTAAGCCTGCAGTCTGAGAGCGCAGTGCTCTGTTAGGAAAATATGGAACAATAAGCTCTCGAATACAAGATGGAGCTAGGTTGTTTAAAGCTTTGTAGGTGAGAAGTAAGATTTTAAATTCTACTCTGGATTTGACAGGGAGCCAGTGGAGAGAAACTAAAACTGGAGAGATATTATCACTCCTACTAACTCCAGTTAAGACTCTGGCAGCAGCATTTTGGATCAACTGAAGACATTTTAAAGAAGTATTTAGGCACCCAGATAATAAACCATTGCAATAGTCCAGTCTAGACATGACAAATGCATGGACCAGTTTTTCTGCATAATTTTTAAATAAGATGTTTCTAATTTTAGTGATATTTTGCAGGGGGAAGAAGGTGGTTCTAGTAACATTTTTAATGTGGGGGATAAAAGACATGTCCTGAACAAAAATAACACCAAGATTTTTAACATTAGAACTGGAGGCCAGATTAATGTCATCTAAGGAGGGAGAAAGACTGAAAATGATATTCCTAAAATGCTCAGGTCCAAAAACTACAACCTCAGTCTTGTCTGTGTTCAAAAGGAGAAAATTTAGGGTCATCCAGGTTTTTATGTCTTTAAGACATGCTTGTAGTCTAATTAACTGACTGGATTCATTGGGTTTACTGGACAAATATAACTGTGTATCATCAGCATAACAATGAAAATGTATCCCATGCTGTTTAATAACATTACCTAATGGAAGCATATACAAGGTAGAGTATTGGTCCAAGCACTGAACCTTGAGGAACTCACTTTGGCGTATGATGAAGATTCATTATTTACATTTACAAATTGGAATCTATCAGATACTGTAGATATGGTTTATCATATTCAAGTCTCTGTAACAGAACATTGTGATCAACTGTATAAAATGCAGCACTGAGATCTAACAGGACCAGTGTAGACACAAGTCCATTGTCAAAGGCCATGAGAATATCATTAGTAACTTTCACCAGTGCAGATTCAGTGCTGTGGTGAGCCCTAAACCCTGACTGAAACTCTTCAAACAGATTATTACTTTGTAGATGATCATGTAACTGACCAGCAACTATTTTCTCTAGAATTTTTTAGATGAAAGTTAGATCAGATATAGCTCTATAATTGGCTAGAATTCCTGAGTCAAGGTTATATTTCTTAAGTATACTTCCGGTAAGATGGCGTCCGTGTACATGGCTTGCAATCCACCTCTGCTGATGGTGTTTGGATTATTTTTGTTTTGTTCGTTTCTTTATCTGTGACATAAACTCACTGCTGATGTATGACCGTGTAAGGATGGTACCATTTGCTGTTTCTGTTTGTGTCTGTTTCCCTAGTGTTTCCTCATCAGTTTAATTGGTGCCACCTTTGTCTCGTCACAGCTGTTGTAATCACGTCTTGTCTTGTCCTTGTATAAAAGCTGTCTGTTCTGTGTTGTTCCTCGTCGGGTCGTATTCGTTGGGTCTCTGTGTTCTCCTGCGTCTCCCCTGAGCTTTCCTGAGTCCTCCCTGAGTTTCCCTTTGAGCCATCCGTCTTTATGTAAGTTTTGCTGCCACGTCAGCTGTTTGTTTTGTTCTTCATTTATTATTAAAATACTTATTTTTGTAATCTGCCGAGTTTGAGTCCTGTCTGCACATTGGGTTCGTTCCTGTCCACAAAATCCTGACATTACGACCCGACCACACATCAGAACCCAGCGGGCAGGGCTCTCTCGGCAACTCACCTTTTTTCTTTTTCTCCTCCGAGCTTCCCCGTTATGAGCGAGCATACAATCCGGTGCGGCGGGTTCTGGACCAGACCCGTCCGCCCACAAGGACGTTTTGACCAGGAGGTGGAAGTCCTGTCTTCACCACTCCTGGTCCTCGAAGAAAACAGGGCTCGACACCGGGGAACCCACCAGGCTCCTACTTTTGAGTCCGCCTCACCCGGCTACTCGGGATGGACGTCGGGGGAGGACGAAGAAATCGAGGATGAGTTCTGTTTTGCTCCTGTCCCCCGACCATCCCGCCGTCGCCGGGGAGGTAGGAAGCGGTCCCGAGGGCAGCCCGCGGCGACCGGGCCGGTTTCGTCGGCCGGGCAGAATAATAGAGTTGGTTCCGGTGTTTTTGTGGGAGCTGGTCCCGCCGCCTCACCTCACAGGTTTTCGGTGGAGGCGAGGTCCAGCGTCCCGCGGGAGCTCCGGTCCACTCCTGTTCGGTTCGGCGAGTCCGGTCCACGTGACGTTACGGGGGCGGGTTCCGTCGCCTCACCTTCCAAGTTCCTGGTGGGGGCGGAATCCGGCCTCCCACCGTCACACCGTGCCGCGGCTGTCCAACCCAGTCAGACCGTGCCTCCTGGGCATTCTCCCAGTGACTCTGTGGGGGCGTGTTCTGCTGACCCACTTCCCAAGTTTCCGGTGGGGGCGACACCTGACACCACATCCACACATAGTGACACTTGCCCGTCAATCACATATTCACCCCATGATTTTGCATACATAAACCAGACTTTATTAGATTTATTCACTTCTGCTAAAAATAACCCGGACTGCTCAGATGTTTTGTTTTCCCTGATGGAGGAATTTTTAGTTTTACGGCCAGGCCTCCTTCTGATCCCAGAGTACAACCATTTATTAATAGAAATAAGGTCTCTCATCACACCCAAGGTCACTAATATACAGTCTGAACCCATAATCCATCCTGCACCTATTGGCACCACCATCGCTTCTGAACTTTCCTCTGCTCCTCTGACTCCTGCACCCATCATCTTCGCCGCTGATCCACCTGCTGAGTGCCTCGCCGTTGGTGTACCTGCTCCTGTCGCCTCAGAGGACTCAGCATCAGTTTCTGTTTCCCGTCGCCGCCGCCGCCGCAGGAGATCAGTTCCTGTCGCCACCGCAGAGGAGTCGGTTCCTGCCTCCGCTGCAGCTCTCCAGGCTCCCACGCCGTCTGCTGCAGAGCCACAGGCCTCTCCGTCATCTGCTACAGAGCCACAGGCCTCTCCGTCGTCTGCTGCAGAGCTACAGGTCTCTCCGTCATCTGCTACAGAGCCACAGGCCTCTCCGTCGTCTGCTACAGAGCTCCAGGTCTCTCCGTCGTCTGCTGCAGAGCTCCAGGTCTCTCCGTCGTCTGC